ACAGCCACTGATTGGTCAGCAGACAATTACGCCACACGGCATGATTTGCATAAGACTATGGCTTGGGAATCACAGATTTGCATAACGTTACGGCTGGTGATGGCTAATTGGTCGGCCGGAAATCACGCCACATGACATTTGCATAGTGCTACGGTTCAGTAAGCACTAATTGGTCGTCGAGTCCGATATTGACGCTATAAAAAGGAGACAGATCAACATACCGGATATACGTCACTCTCGTGTAAGTTCGACTTGGGAATTTTTTTGTTCAATAATAATAATAAAAATAATAATAAATGTGAATTCTTCTTCCTGGAGAAAATAAGACATTCCCTGAAAATAAGACCTAGCGCATTTTTCAGCGCAAAAATTAATATAAGACACTGTCTTATTTTCGGGGAAACACGGTAGTGCCGATTCGGCACCAATAATTAAATAAAAATAATGAGACGCTTTAAGCAAAATCAGAATTGCGCATCGTAAAATTGAAGAAAAATTGGACGAGTAATAATTTTTTCAGATTTCTCACACAATAAGCATTTTTACACGAACTAATTAAAAATCGATTGGTGCTTAATCGGCACTAGGCGCTGCCGACGGGTTTTAACGGCTATCGGCTATAGTAAATAAGGTAAACATTCCTAATTTTTTCAAGAAATGTGTAAGTAATGTTGTCAGTAACTGAAGCATAACAGTAAGTTAGTATTCTGGAAAAACTGAATAACACCATTTTCGCTTTCAACGGTTAAAATATCATAACAATCAGGTATAATGACTTCATTAAGCACCAAAACTTTCCAGTTAAAGATAAGAAATTTAACGTTAAAATAGACGATATAATTTGTAATGTTAATTTTACATATGTTAGTCGAGTACGACATTGTCTTTCATATAGTAATTAATTAACTGATTATCATTATTATATATGTTTACAGATTTCGAACATGTGTATCGGAATTGCATACCGATTCTTATCCAAAACCTTTCGTAAACACGGGATAAATGTATCAAGACACACGTCAGGGTACATAGTTGTGCCAGTCTTTATGACATTGTTGTTAGGCACAGGATTTCAAAAGTTCTCCCAAGACTTGAGCGAAGACGTTTTAGTTCCATCCGGAGGAATTATCGACAAGCACAAGTCGCGTTTGATGCAATTTTTTTCCCATAGATCTCGCGTCAAACTTCGACCCCGCAAGATTATTGCACGTCATTCACTACGGAACCGTTATTGTCGAAGCGACGGACGGAGGCTCGATTCTACGAGAGTTCGTCTTTCGTGAAATCGTCACTCTGGATCGGGAAATTCAAAATTTCTTTATCGACGAAGACGACGGATGGAACTACAAAGACATCTGTGCTAGAAATAATGGAAAGTGTTACGAAAATAAAATTCTTCGTATAGACAATAAACTGAAAGCGTTGCAAAACGGAACATTTCGGTTGAAATATCCAATTGGCAATACGAGCAGAAATTACGACGTTTTAACATTGGGTGGTGTGAAACTGAACGAAGAGGGTTGCGTAATATTTGCCAAAGCTGTTAAATTGTTCTATTTTCTAGACGATTCGAATAAATGGGCGGAAGAAAGAGCAATAACGTGGGAAAATCGATTCGTAGACATCTTGAATAGACTGAACCATTCTTACATCAAAATAAAGAAAGACGTGTCGCTTTCTACGCTTGAGTCGAAAAATCAGTTGTTTCTCGCTACTCTAAAATATATTCCGAGTTCTGTTTTCTTGATGGTTACGTTTACCGTTGTTAGTTGTTTATGGCCAGACTTTCTCCGAAGTAAACCTTGGACCGGAATCATGTCGTCGATAGCCACGGGAATGAGTCTAGTTTCTGGTTACGGCCTTCTGCTTTATGTGGGTTATAAAATATCTCCTGTAACATATATGATTCCGTTTCTTATTTTAGGTAAGTCATTTTTGTATAACGATAATAAACGATAGTTTGTTGGGCACGGCCGAATAGATAAAATCGCTAAACAGTAATGGTTAGTCAGTTCGCTATTCACTACTGAGTCGGTCGCGTGGAATTTTACGGGTTTTTCTCACGTGCTTTACACCTATTGGAGAGCAATACTTTATACAGAAAGTACTGCTGCCACATTGTCGCGTAAATTTCGAGTCCCCTCTATAGAGAGGACTCGAAATTAACGCAATAATGTGAGAGATATTTGTTTATATTTGTGTTGAGTGTATGTGCTTTAGTTTTTCCACCCGTAAATCGTATTAGAATTCTGTATCCCTGTACGTTATTATAACATTACCATTAAGTGATGCGTTAGAACAAGTTAAATTGGAAGAATTAGGCAGTAAAAGGTACTTGGATGAAGAGAAGTGTTTTAAAAGCGGGATACCTTATTTCGTGTGGACTGAGAAAAAAACATTAATGGCAACTAGGGAGTGTTTGCGTTGCACGGTAAAACTACGGCACATTATATTTATCACGTGAAATTCCAAACTTTTTCACCACTTTTTATATTACGTGTCGAGTTCTTGTCGAGTAATACGTGCTGGGGTTTCACGGCATTTGTCACAAAACATCGAATAATCCTAGTAAAGTAAATTCTATTCGATGAATAAATTTTAAAAACAACTTTAAATATAATAGCTAAGGAAACATTTTTGTAATTAACAAATGATATTTCATTCTGTTTTTCTATCACTTTACTTCTATTTGTAATTATTAGTTAATCACACGTAATATAAAATAGAATATAGAATATTTCGAGTGCTAATTTTATAGGCTATATTTTTTTATACACAAATAATATACACACATACTCATAGGATATATTTACATTTTTCATTTTAGTTATGGTATTTATTTGTGTTTGTACAATATTCTTATTTTATTTGAATAAATAATAAGAAATAATATTAATTATAGGTATTGGTATGGACGATACATTTGTTATGTTATCGGCGTGGATGAAAACCGACCCGAAGAAATCTGTGGAAGAAAGAATGGCCGAAACATTCACCGAGTCGGGCGTTTCTATCACAATCACTTCTCTGACTAATGTTGCATCGTTTCTAGTAGGAATATTCATTGCCAATATCCCTGTATATAAAGAACTTTTCGTGTTTATGGCAACGTGTTTGATCTTCGACTATATTTATCAAATTACATTCGTTGCAGCGATTTTGGTTCTATGTGGAAGAGCGGAAGAACGTCAATTGCATTCCTTGGTATTCGTAAAATTTCCAGGTAAAGTACTTTTGAATTTTTTATTTCTAATTTAACATCTTTAATATTAAATTATCAAATATTTGGTTTGATTTCTGTTTTTTATAATACGGGTAACTTCTGTAATATTTGCCTGATATGAATAGATAATAAAATGTAATTTTATGCGTTATGACTATAATTGATAGCGCATAAAAATTGAATATTTATTTGCATTCACAAATTTTAAATATATCTTTATTTGTCATTCACCTCCGATAATATGTCTTCGTGGCACAACATTTAAGAACGTTTGCCATGATATATTTTCGAGTCAAGAATCAATCATAGAAAAGATTAGTCACATCAGACACTTATTACGGTCTCCGTTAGAACTAATTTATTTTGTTTGTTTGCAACCTCGTGATGATCTGTCGATGATTTCACAATATATTCGTTTCAATTAATGTCCGGAAAGTTTTAAGTCAAGGTATTAAATTATAATGCAATTTATAAATTAATTTGTTATCTGTATTTCGTAGATGGCTCAATGGAGTAGGTCATTGAACAATTGCCTCAAATTTGTGCCTAACCACCGGGTAAACCGCGTGGAGTTTGTCGTGTATTCTATTTTTTGCGTATATTGACCGTATTCATCACGCCAGATGGCAGCACCAGCATAAAAACATCCTGGACCATTGATACTTCCGGTTCGCTTTGTTTCCTTGCATGCACAAGTAAACAATATCTGTTCCGAACTCTTCTTGCAAACGTAATATTTTATAATCTGCGCTGAAATGACATCAAGTGGTACATGTTGTGTAGCAGTAGGCTGCAGCATGCGGTCTGGGACGAATTTATTATCCAAAATTAAGATGTTTCGCTTCCCAAAACAAGAACCTCAGCGCGGAGCTTGGGTGTCAGCCATCGCTCGAAAAAACTGGCAACCTTCAACTTCAAGTAGGCTGTGTTCGCGGCATTTCATTTCAGGTATGCAATAATTCGTTTAAAAGCATATGAAGATTGTTACGAACTTCACAATTAGCGATCGTGTAAACGTAAACATTTGCTTTTACTGTGTTTACAGGCGCTCCTTCATCAGAGCAGAATAACCCTGACTGGGCTCCTACATTATTTCTACCAAATACGATATGTAACGAGAAGCAAATTCATCAAAATGTTGCAAGGTTCGAACGATTAAAAAAAAGAAGAAAAATAATTGCTTCAGGTATGTTTAATGTTGACATTGGATAAAAATTTTGTTCTTACCAGTAGATAAAGCATTTATGAATTTATGTTAATCAAGGCTCAACTTTTTAGTACCATTCTCAAAGCCAGGAAGTTAGTAACTTCCATAACTAGTTTATTAATTTGGTAATTAAAGCATGGTTAATGAATCAGATATTTTAAAAACTTACTAGCATTTTAATGGCAAAAAATGTTAAAGTATTAAAAGAGGATTAAAATGTTACTTGTCTTCTGGAAATCATACTGAAGTCAATGTAATATAACACGATGAAGACAAAATTAATTTTATTTTGTATATGTGAGCAAGTAGAACAAGTGTTAATTTCAGCTGTTGCTTAACTTCTGTATGTCAACAACTGTGCACTTCAACTAGTATAAATTTAGCTCTGATACTAGTTTGAATAGTATTGTAATTAGCATAAATTTAATTATACGAGATGTTTTTTCTTTTTTTTACAGACACTTCTAATGACAACCATGAAATTGCTGCAGTGGTTGAATCAGTGCAATCTCAAGAATGTGCTGTTGAACAAATTACAATACCAAAGCAATTATACTGTGAGTTGGTAGAGAAAAATGAACAGCTTCAACAAGAAAATGCTGAATTGCAGTTGAAGTTGGACACCCAGACGTTACGAGCAAACTACTTTCAGAAGACAGTGACTATGAGTGATACAGATTTTATTTTAAAAGATGATAAGCTGTTAAATTTTTATTCAGGAATAAATGGTGTTGACATTTTTGAGTGTGTCATTGCTTATTTGAAACGTTTCTGGAAACCAACTTTATCAACCCACTTGAGTTTATCTGAGCAGTTTTTGTTAGTTCTAATGAAGTTGAGATTAGGAACATTGAATGAAGACCTTGCCGTACGGTTTCAAATACCATCTTCAATGGTCAGCAAAATCTTTCATGAATGGTTGGAAGTTTTGCATTATAGTTTAAAATTTTTGATTAAGTGGCCTTCCAGACAAGAAATCAAAAAGTGCTTGCCTTCTTGCTACAAGCATCCAGACTTTGAAGGAATAAGATGTATTATTGACTGTAGTGAAGTTTTTATTGAAAAACCCAGTAATTTGCTGGCCAGGTGTCAGACTTACTCCAACTACAAGAGCAACAATACCATTAAATTTTTGGTTGCCATAGCTCCTAATGGTTGTGTGAGTTTTGTATCTAAGGCATGGGGAGGTAGAGTCAGCGACAAGGTTCTTACCAAAGAAAGTGGTCTACTTGATTTACTAGATAGGGGCGATACAGTGTTAGCTGACCGAGGTTTTCAAATAACAGATCTGTTAGCCTCAAAATCTGTTCGCCTTCTGGTTCCATGTAGCACCAGAGGTAAAAATCAGTTGGCTGGTGCTGATGTTACCAACTCTCGTGCAATGTCAAGAATACGAGTTCACGTTGAACGAGCTATTGGAAGAATGAAAAATTATAGAATACTTTCAACAACGATGCCGATTTCATTGATCAAACGAGAAAGTGATGCTGATATGGCAACAATTGACAAAATATTAACAGTTGTTGCAGCTTTGTGCAATTTAAAACCTCCACTGATTAAATAAATAAAAAAAGGTTTGATTTTTATTTGTTCATTTATTTATTTGCTGTTGCATGATTCACACTTCCAATTTTGTTTTGTTCTAGACAAATTTACACACTTAATATGAAAAGCATATTTGCACATACTACACAAAATCACAGTTCCTGATTTCATTCCATTACATAAACAGGTGTTTCTAACTAACAACAATTCTTTTTTAACAGATTCTGAAAATATTTCAGTTACTATGTAATTGAAATAAAATGATGAGAGTTTTTGCACTGCATGTTGCCAGAAAACCAGGTTAAAATTAATTTTTTGTATATGTACATCATTAGCACTGTAACATACAAAAAAACACTCCTTGACTTTTGCAATCCCCATCTGTCCTTGTATTTGTGTGTAATATTCATGTTCTTCACGAAGTTGCAAATTTTCATCTAGAAATTCTGGCTTAGCTTCTCTGACACTTAAATGCCTCTTAGAATATAAGCACTTTATTTCTAATAGTGCTGAACTACAACAGTCGCATGTAACAAGACCATCTGGTGTTGCTGCAAGAAATGACTGTGCCTCATCAATAAACAGACCAGTACTGCTAAGTTGAAAATTTGAGTGCAGTGGTAACATTCTTTGTACAAATAAGCTTTTTGCTACTGACTCATTCTTCTTCCCCCATTCAATGCTGTTGGCATGTGGTTCCTCTTGATACTGCATTACATCTTTTACAATGCTTTTGTGTGCAGTTTTACATCTAAGAATGCGACCAAACAGAGATGCAGTTAATCTTCCTTTTCGATACTTCCACCACAAATCCTCATTTGCTTGATCTCTAGTTTGAGATTCCACTAACTGAATATCCTGTTTTGTTAACTTGATTTCGTTGATGAGTTTGTTTTCAAGTTCAGTACGTGATAATGAAACATCCTTGAAACACAGAACTTTATGAATAATTGATGGTTCAGGTGACTGTTCGTTTGGTGCTAAGTCAAATTCTGATTCGCTGGCTGTTTCTGTTTCATCACTTTCAGACAGAGTGACTTCCATGATTGATGTTTTTTTACCAGTGGCCTGATTCATGAACAACAACATAAATCTATCTTTAGTAACAATCATAACTGATAAAGTTATAAAGACATTAGTTATATTTTGTAAATATATAATTACCTTCAGAGATTCCAGAAAAAATTTCTGATCTAACAGTGTTGGAGTTGGAGGATGTGATAACATGTCTGTTTTTTGTTTTTTGTTTGGTAGGAATGGATTATTATGCTTTGATTTTGAAAAACAAATATTTGAAATTTGGCTTGGTTCAACCTACATTATGTAAATGAATAATTTTAATAAAAATTACACAATAAAAACAGTTTACATAATGATTCTTAATAATGGTGCCATTACACAACATTATTACCTCTCTGTTAAATTTCTTCCATGAACATGGAAGAGAAGTGCATGGAGTTTCTTCATTAGCTTTCACTGTTGCTTCTATTGTTAAAAGTAATGCACCAAGGTGGCTGCAACTTTCACCAAGACTAAAATTATATCTGGGTCAGTAAATAATAATATTCTAATATTAATATAAAATTTGCATACCCAGCCATACATGTGCAGTGACCGCTTACAATAACTCCATTAATTTGCACCACTGCCCAGGGATGTTGAAACGTCTTCTTCTGCCCAGACTGTATTTTTCCTTTTAACATGCAAATCTAGGGAAAAAATGTTTTGGGCAGTTGTTTACAAACTCGAGATCACGGGTTGTGAAACAAGAGGTTAGAGTCTTCAGAATTTCTTTAGCTATGAAAAATTATCTTTTGTTTATGTATATTTTAAATTTACTAAACATTATAAATAAAGATTTCACACTCCAACTTGTTTCGCAACGGGCGCTAAAGTAGCAAATTTAATTCTTACCTTCAGATCCGTCAACGGGTAAACAGTGATTTCTTTCACCTTTCCACTCACTAGGTAATTATAACTCTCAAGTGAAGTATAATTTTTCAGTTGTTGTTTTGTGTAAAAGCAGAGCTGGTCTACAAAGTAGGCATAGAGATCTACTAACGTGATCTTAGGCCATGCTTTCACGTTATCGTGAAATAACATTTTTGCTAAATCGTCGTCCATTGGATCGGGCAGTTCTTGCTTGTTAAACATTAATTTTTGCTTATACCTATACCTGCTTAATTCATCTAAACCTTTATAATATTCGCTGGACATTTTTCGGAACAGAAATGATTGTGACTGATACACACGAGGTCTTTCGCATCGACTATTAACACACCGTTCACGTTCTACCGGAAGTTCAACTAGGTCCAATCACGTGACTAGCCCCAGGCTTTGTTTACTTTTAGATACGGTCAATAACTAAACCAGTTTCGCACAGAAAGACCAACGAGTAGGCAATTCATTTCCTATATTGCTAAAGCGTGCGATATGGCAAGGGAAAGCGATCGATCCAAATCAAACTATCCTGTAAAATCTGTAAAAAAAATGTGTTCCTTGTATTAATCAATTTCAGAAAAGAAACATCCATTTAATAAAACGTCGAAATTTTAACTTTTCTTACAGCATTTCAGGTACTCAAATCTTATTAAAAAATCCAATATATATCTGCAAAATGATCCATGATAATCGTGTTCATTTCATTCGTATTGTCAGTAACAAAATATATCGGCTAAAAAGTTCCCGGACACAATTTTTATAAATCCCGGAAAGGTTGTAGACAAATGTATGTTGTTACAAACAGCAAGAATACAAACCGATCTGTTATTTCCAAACTCTTCGTGCTTCATAAAGTTTGCAATTATTGAACCTTTCACGCTTTGCCGAATACCCGTTTTAACGGAATACATTAAATTATAAATTACATAATAAGGTCAACTTAAATGTGAAAACAACATTGCGTTCGCCTAACAGAAAATAGGCGATAAAAACGAACAATACATAGATACAAAGCAATCGCCATCGGCTGACTTGTTCTTGGATGGCCTTTTCCACGATGGGCAGGAAAGACGATAGTCTCTTTGTGGAAACAATGGCAAAGTTGGCTTTTCCGCCGTATTCAGCTGCAAGGATTGCTTGTTTCTTTCCTGTTCTGCCTCAATTCTATCGTGATACGACAAAGTCGCGCGATATCCTAGAACTTGTGATACTTGGCTATTTAACGATACTTCTAATCTTTTGAAGATGCAGGATAATTGGGAGCTTGGAGTATTGGCAACTTTCATCATTTTCACGACAACTAAAAAATGTTTTACTTTTGCAGTAATTTTATACTTACGTTAATTTTATCAATTTACGAAAACATTGATTCAAATGAATTAGTTGTTTTCAATCTGTTCTAACGAAGAAAGAACATTTTATGAATAGTTGAAATTGAAGAAGAATCGACGTTCACGAATGACCAAGAGTGTGTCTAGAAAATGTTGGAAAACTTCTTTAATCAAACGGAATTTGCCCGTATTATAAGTCGAATTTCATTTTAACACTTCTCGGTTTTTGCAGAAGAAATACTTACATTTGTACGTATATACTCTTTAAACAGTATTTTGATATTATTCTCAGAACATTACACCATTTTTTAGAAAATTATGGAAATAGAAATATTACCAAATTTNTACTGCTGATGAGGGGCATGCTAGCCCGAAACACGTGTAATATGTGTACAGAAACTATTACTACAGGTGATATAATAATGAAATTTTGTTCTTTCCTGAACTAACTCTCATTGCTGTGTCAATCTTTAAACACCAGTTTATGTCCTATTAATAAATAAAGTCCAAGTAGACAATTAAAAATAATACGGAAATAGAACATTACCAAATTTTATTAAGTATTGTAATTAAACTTCTATTATATATTTACGTGTTTAATCTTTGTATAATTCCAGAAAATAAAAATATTGCTGAAAAAATCTTCTGTTTCGTGCGTCCTGAAGATTCGAAGCAGAAAAAAGATAATCGCAGAGTTAGATTTACTGAACTTCTAAAGAATTTCAACGAGCTGATGAGGAAGAAAGTGACGGGATTATTTATTATATTATTATATTTTACTTATTTAGGAATTTCGATATGGGGATTGACAAAATTTTCTTATGAACAAGAATTAGAAACGAATTTTGTTCACGGTACTTATCGACATAATTATCACAAAACGAATGAAAAGTATTATAATCAATACAAGTACAGATTGCAGCTGTTCATCACGCAGGAACTCGATTATTCAAATCGCACAATCCAACAAAATATTGAAAATATGCTACAAACTGTCGAATCGAATCCTCTGATCGCTGGATCATTGACCGAATCCTGGCTAAGAAGTTATTTACAGTTTATTTCACAGATTAAATTTTATTTCTTCTTAACCGGATATAACGTGACAAATTCGGAAGATTTCCTTTTCGTTTTGCATAAATTATTCTTACGCTTTCCAGAAGCGAAAAGATTCAGACAAGACATCGTTTTCGATGATTCCTTCACCAAATTCATTTCTTCTCGTTTCTTACTTCAAACGAACGTTACAAGCAACGGAAGTTATTTCTACAATCAGTTTAAACACCTTCAAGAAACGTTGAATTCTTTCCCATTCACCACTGTCGTATATCATCCGTTGTTTTACTATTTCGATATTATTGACGCCATACCTAAGATAACAATTCAGACTTTATGTATTGTGTCGATCGCCGTTTCTATTATATCTGCCGTATTGTTACCAAACGTCATTTGCATCGTGTGTGTATTTTTCAGCATAATGTCGGTAGGTGTGGGTGTTTTGGGCTTCCTGTTCCTTTTTAATCTCAGTTTTAATGTGAGCTCCTTTTCTGTAATAATTATTGTTATTGGATATTCTGTGGATTACGCGGCACACGTTTCCTGCGCGTATATATCGGCGAAATCGAATAGTCCGGACAGACGATTGCAGAATGCAATAAATTTGACGGCATTTCCCATTATACAAGGAAGCGTCACTACCATTCTTGCCATTGTAACAGTTCTAAACGTTTCGGATAAAGGTCCATTGTTAGCGACAAAAGTGATTATTTTAGCCTGCGTAATCGCTGGAATTCACGGACTTACATTTGTTCCAATAATTATTTCGTTGATCGACAGGGTTTTTCAAAAATGTCTCTATTTTATATTCAAGTGGAAATGTTCAAATTCCTTCAGTCCTAATCATACACAAAGTGTACACTCAATTCAGACGAATAAACAGAAGACTTAATAATTATATTATTGATTATAGTTATAAGATTTGTAATATGTTTCACGTTTAACAGTTGCATTAAATTTACTATTATTATTGTTTGAATATATTTGTGTGGATTTCACATAAAATGTGTTATACCGATTTTTATCGTGTAAAAGGTATTTTATTTATGGTTTTCTATCACCCGAGCAAATTTCATAATTTTCTATTTTACTCAATATAACTTTTTATATATACTTATTTTCTGTCTTCACGTATTATAATATCACAATCGGATCATAACACAAAATCGGAAATTTTGTGTTATATTCAGTATTTATGGAAATTGGTTCCCACTGTGCTTAAATCGGATTTAGGCCAAGGACACGCGTGTAAAATTGTGTGGCAGAAAACTGAATCAGAAATCAGCATTCGGTTCAGTTTCTGTTTTACGCTTTTATGCCAAAACACACATCCACATGTAAAAATTCTGGCCGAACAGGAAATGTCACTGGACCTGCCTGTTATTTGAAATTTAGCACCTATGGCCGTTTGTAAACTTTGTTTAAATACGGTGTCTTTATACGTGATACTTTTTTTGTCATAAAGGCACTGATGTGGCCCAACGGATTCAATAAATGTTTCTATTTCATTTATTTTTCGTTTCTTCGAGACCGTCACAATTGAAGGGATAACCGTAGAAGACTCGACTGTGTATCCGCATACATAATTTACATATTTTGATATTGTTTATATATTAACGTATGATTAATTATATGTACTGTATCTATAAGTTTCTTTATTACTAAAATTATTTCATTGGTGTACATTAATGAAATAATTTTCAAGGTTTCATTCATTCTATTGACCTATTAAATACTTGTCTCTCTATCTATTGACGTACTAAATACAAGTATTTATAAATATCTTATAAATAAGTATTTATAAATATCTTAATAAACATTGTAAATATCTTAATATTATTTTCACGTGTCAATTTCTTAACATATTGTAGCCGGAAAGTAATAAAATAAACCAACTGAAATGAAAGAAAGAAAAACTGAATTAAAGTTACGTGTTATAAGTGCGTTGATTTATGACGAAACAATAATGTTTTTACCAAATATAAAACCGAGAAACTCACTTAGATCGGTTTTCCTTTTTTATTTTGCATGATTTTTCTTTTCAGTTTGTATCACGAAATGTTAAAAGTTTAACGTGTAACACTACAACTTACTGTATTTTATCACACAGAAAATGCCAAAATGCGAGAAACAAGAATCCGTAATTGACCATAAAAAAGTGAACCCTTAGTAACCTGATTGACGAAATAAACCAGATAGATAAACACACTTGTAGATAACCGTTATTCTCTTTTAGTATGTCACTCCCTATCGTCGTTTGATAAGGAATAATTGTTACGAACTTCGAAAACGGGTTTTTTCAGTAAAATATTTATTAATATTTGCAAAAGTTTTTTACTGCTGATTTGACGATTAAGCAGATCTAAATGTAGTGATTTATTTGTTTTTATAATTATGCATAAATTCAGATTATTTTTAACACCGGTAATCCTAGAGATAATTGCCGATGTCTGATCGTTAAAATATCTTTCTTCTTGGCACACTTTTCTTCCCTCGTAAGTATTCTCTGACTATTTTGTTTTTAAAATCCTCAACCTTCAGAAGAGAATAAATTAATTTTTGTTATATAATTTAAGTTAAATATAATGTATATAAATTGAAAAGAAACTACTCTGGTATATCTAGGAGTATAAGAAGCTTCGTTATTAGTCGTAAGTAATACTGTTTTGTAATTAAACTACACTGGTGCTTAATGTGTTAGACTTTATGTGAATCGTAATTTAAACAGCAAATATTTATTCATATTTATAAATTGGAGGGGTTTAAATTATACAGACTTTAACTTCGATATTATTTTATTACTTTATTATTATTTATGTTAAATGCATACTTTAAATTCTTGTACTAATGTACTTTAAATTAATTAATAATATTATGATATAAATAAATACAACTATTACGTTACTATCGAGACTTATGATTACGTCTGTAACATTATTTATTATTATTAAGAGTAATTGTAACAAATTTAGTAGTGCTTTGTATAATCTGTATGTATATGTATTATGCTGTCCTTTTTACGAGTGTATATTTATCTTCTGTAAATATTTAATCTGATAAAATACTGCAAGTTAATATATTTTGTGGAAGTTTTATGTATTTAAGCAGAAAACAGAAATTTATTCATTTAGTTATCTTTTCACATAAGCCTTAGCAATTAAAACACGTAAACTTTATTTCCGTCACACTTTACTTGGATATTGTTTAATAAACTGTAGAAATAAAATTCGTTCACGAAAATATTCTAAAATGGCGAAGAACTTTCGTTATTTCAAAAGAACATTGAATCTTTCCTTACAATTACTTTTATTTTTCTTATTATAAAATGCATAAGTTAAAGTAAACTTAATTAATACTTGTACTTTTTAAAATATTATTTAATTAATATTAGTCTATTGTGAATAAAATGTATTAATAGGACTTTTTACTGTGATTTAACTTGAGCGTGAAATTTGACAGATTGAATAAAAAAAAATAAACTTTTGTTTGCACCTGTATACAAAATTTTCTATTGTTTTGGACCTATTCGTACCTCATCTGCAGATATTTTATAAGTTATTGCTTTTCGAAATATAATTTTTAAAATTATACAATAAAAAATTGTAAAATTTAAACCGTAGTTATCTACTTAAAAGTACTTTAGACGATTTACTCCTAACTTTTACACGAGTCTTCAGTTTTTTCTCTATTCCTGAAAGATAAAACTTCAAATACACGTCGTTTATTTCCTGTTGTAAGTTTTGACTGTTAGCCTGGTTAGAATTTTTTTTAATTAAAAAATTATAAACTATTTTTTTATAAATCTCCTACTAACGACTTTCTTTTCTTTAATTCTTCTATATTTCTGTGACTCTTGTGGCTGTCTGTACTTTTCATTCTTTTTCTGTTGATTTTAAATAGTATTACTAAGAGGGCCTCTATAAATGTAATCCGTGTCAGATGTATTTTTCCGTTTTTATTTTTGATTTTAGCTCGTTTTGTTATATTTATATGTTCATAATGTTGTCATTTAAACGTATTTTTTCTAGCTTCATTGCTTTAATTGATTCTCTTATTTCACATCCGTTCTCGCTGCAAAGACGTGCTACTTTATTTGTTTAATAACACTGAACTGGTATTATATGCTGTTTAATTTTTATTTCCCACTTTATTTTATTTTCCCTGCGGGAGTTAAATTAATTAGATAACTACAATTAAATGAATTAACCACTATTTCTTTCTCTGTTATATCTTTTGGTATTTCTATAATTTAAATATTTCTTTATCTGATTATTATCTCTCTCCTTCTAAGCAATGTTAAATATAAATATGAACATACCTGAATAAAGAGAAAAAAACTCGGCAAGTAGAATTCAGGTGTGTTCATATTTAAATTTATTTGATTATTTTGATCTGGTATTAAATTTATGTTTTTTCTTATTAACTGTTTTATGCGTATAAAATGTTTGATATGTATGTATTTTGTATGTGATAATTCTGCATGTTTTCTATGAAACTTATTACTCTTTATTTAATAATTTCTTGTTGTTGTTGCATTTTCGTAGTTATTTTTGTAATTTTATTCACGTACATTTGAATATATTCTTTTTAATACTTATTGGCGAGTTAGAATTGTATTTTATAATTTTTGCTAACCGGTATTAGAGAATCTAACACAGGAACGTTTGTCGAAGTGGCACCCTCCGCTAACACCGTTCAAAATTTTCGCCATTTACAGCTGAAGACCATCTGCTTCAGACGATATATCTTTTTATGAATAAAAAAATAGAACAAATGAGTAGATTTGTACTCGTTTGTTTTATTTTATTACCTGTTTTGAGGAAATCACTCTTCCGTACCTAAATTATTCGTAAATGAGTCAATGGAGAATTCGAATAACGAGTATTTTAATTGAAGTTCAAGAAAGAATTTAATATTGTTCAAATTTACTTTATTCCGCTTTTGAACAAAACAAAGTATAGAACTTCGTAACCAGGAATTGCAATCCAGCTGGTTTTGATGGACTAACATCATTCCAGCTGGATCCTTCGCGAATGTATTTTTGGTGCAATAAAGTGTTATCTATCTATCTATCTATTCATCCAGATTTTTATGGGTTTTTTCTAAAGAAACGAAACATTTTTTTAAACACTTAAGAAACTTTTATTTGGACTGGTCACTATAAATCAGTAAAACTTCTTACACATTTTGGTAGTAACTTTGCTTCCGTTTAAAACTCGAGATAGAGATAATTAACTTTAAATGTTTATTTAGATTATAATTATAATGTAATCTTTAAGTTAAATAATAGCAAAGGTAATTCTACTAATTAATTTATATTAATATATTATATTCTAACTAGCTGCAAGGACCCGCTTCTCTGGGTGTTTATTTTTATGTAATATAGTTTTTATATATATATATAAAAGACTGTTTTTCTAAGTAATCTAGAATCTAGCTGCAAGGACCCGCTTCGCTGGGCAAAAAGTAACGATAGTGAAGATTAAGATAATTACATTATAGCTAATCTTACCCGTTTTCACAGAATGCAAGAATTAGGTCCCCCGTTTCCAGACTAATTAGAGAATTTTTACGTTTAGTCAAACGAACTATTTTCAACGTTTCTGGAACGTTTACAATCGTTCTATAATCGAACCAATATTCGAATTTTATGTTCGAATTTAATTCGAACAAATTCGAACAAAACATTCGAAATAGAAAGCCACTTTCAACCACTTTCAGCCTCATATCTCCCGCACCCTTATAGCTATCGAGACGCAACCACCCCGGTGCACGAATGGAGACTTGGGGCTACTACCACATACAAACACCATTCACGTGCGATGTGTAGTTTTGGCGGAAAAGTGAAATATAGGGACACACACGTCCATTTATATATATATATATATAGATATAGATATAAATATAAATAATGTAAGGATGGATAATCAGTGGCTAAGTGGCTATCAGTCTTAGCAGTTTTCTTATATAGGCTCTACATATCAGTCTGTAGTTATTTATAAGTAATTTAATTAATAGAATAGTGTTAGTAAAGTAGTGAGTAAGTAATTAGTAGTAGTCTAGTAGATAGCTATTGAAGACTGGTGATCAACTTATTGATTAGTGACCACTCGTCAGCGTTGAATTTAGTGTCCGAGCCAGTGTCTATTAAAGCTTTATCGATGCAAACTTTTACGCTGTAGAAACGTTCCAGCATGCCGAGGAGACTGTTCCACCGGCATGCTGGGGCGGCAGTCAACAATCAAACTCAACTCTTTGTCCTTCGCTTCTTTCACATATTTTTACAAAAACATATATTCGGTTTGTGATTTTTTAAAAGTCCTGTTCTGTTGTCAAGTGTAGGCCTCGGGGTGGTGAGAGAAGTGGGCCATAATGTTGTTTTTTGAGTTAACGAAAGCCGCAGTTACGGTGTTGGTAGTTTTCGATCCGTCAGTGACAACAATGGTGTTTATATTTTGATGGGCTTCCCATTCCTTAAAGACGTAGTACTAGTCGACCGCGAGCGTGTCGGCATCAATATCTTCCAAGACTGCCTGTTAAACACGCGATAAGCTTAGCGGAGAGAGCGACGCGACTCCTTATCATCGCGCGATCGCCGGAAAAAAGTATGAAAATTTTCTTATTTTTTGTCTCCGGTAAAATATCGATTGAGCTGAAATAAAAGGTTTTCTATTAGCTAGTGACGGTCATCTCCCGGAGAGATAGGTTAGCTTTCGTGGACAAGTCGCGAGGCTGCAGCCATAGGCTTAAACTGCGATCTTTCCGTCACGTGATTCATTGACGTCACGACCGACCGTAAATTAGAATTATGCAACATGACCAGGAGAGGAGTTATTTATTTTATTTAGCGCGAAGACACTTTATTTAGCGAGAGCGGAAAGTCAAGAGCGGAAAGCGAGAGCGGCAATTAGATCAGCAGAGGTAAAAGGGTGGGCGGTGAGGTGTAGAGAGGGGTGTAGCACGTGTCGCACTGAACGGCAACGTCGCTCTCGCCGCCGAGCGACGTTGTCGCCGCCCACCCTTTTACCAAAGCGGCAACGCCGACAACGTAGACTTTTGCGCCATTATTTAGAAAGTTAATTGAGAATTTACAGATCTTCAGCGCTGGATCCAACAGGCCCCAGGGCCGGATCATCGCATAGCCAAATGAGACAAATGTCAGGGCCCGGTTTTTAGAAGGGCCCGGTCAAACTGTCTATTTTGAAAAGATTTGTAAATAAAATAGTTTACTTTTCTGTTGGACAACAGTATATAATAAACAAAAATATATTGTTTTTTATATGGTTATTGTGAATTCTGAAATCTAAAGAAAATGTACGTGGGTTGTTCAAAAAGTTTTCGAACTTTTTGAATAGCGCGCCTCCAGTTGGTTATTTTTTAATTTGCTTGGAGGCGTTCTGTCCGCGGAAACCTCCCTAGTAACCTCCTTCAACCCGTTTGTTGATATCTTGTTTTGGTGATTAGTTACGGCCGTTTATGTGAAGTGGTGTTTGTGGGGTTCGGCGAAAAATCGAATCCGCGGAAATCAGCTCTTCGAAAGAACAGCGTTGTTCTGTGAAATTCTGTGTGAAACTCGGAAAATCCTTCACGGACAATTCCTACAGGTGGGTGAAACAGCCCCCGCCCCAAAAAGTTCGACAAGTTTGCTCAAACGTTAAGGTGATGTTGACTGGTTTTTTTTCGGTACAAAGGGGTTGTGCATCACGAATACCTACCTACAGGCCAGAAAATCAGCACGGAGTACTATCTGGTGTTATGAATCGCCTAAGAGACAAAATCAGGCGAAAACGGCCCGAACTTTGGAGGAGCGGCGAGTGGTTCTTTCACCA